GATCATCTTTACTATCATTATTCTGAATTCTTTTTCAGGTAGACTGCCTATTTCCTCTTCATTTGTTAGGTCTGGTGGGTTTTTACCTTGCTCCTTCATCTGCTGTGTGTTTTTCTGTCTTCTCATTTTGCTTATCTTACTGTGTTTGAGGTCTCCTTTGTGCAGGCTGCAGGTTAGTAGTTCCCATTGTTTTTGGTGTCTGTCCCCAGTGGCTAAGGTTGGTTCAGTGGGTTGTGTAGGCTTCCTGGTAGAGGGTACTAGTGCCTGTGTTCTGGTGGATGAGTCTGGATCTTGTCTTTCTGGTGGGCAGGTCCGAGTCTGGTGGTGTGTTTTGGGGTGTCTGTGGCCTTATTCTGATTATAGGCAGCCTCTCTGCTAATGGGTGGGGTTGTGTTCCTGTCTTGCTAATTGTTTGGCATAGGGTGTCCAGCACTGTAGCTTGCTGGTCGGTGAGTGAAGCTGGGTGTTGGTGTTGAGATGGAGATCTCTGGGAGATTTTCGCCGTTTGATATTATGTGGAGCTGGGAGATCTCTGGTGGACCAATGTCCTGAAGTTGGCTCTCGCACATCAGAGGCACAGCACTGACGCCTGGCTGCAGCGCCAAGAGCCTTTCATCCACACCGCTCAGAATAAAAGGGAGAAAAAGTAGAAAGAAAGAAAGAAAGAGTATAAAATAAAATAAAGTAAGAAAAAATAGAATAAAGTTATTATAAAAAATAATTATTAAGAAAAAAGTTTTTTTAAAAGTAAGAAAAACAACAAACAAAAACGGACGGACAGAACCCTAGGACAAATGGTGAAAGCAAAACTATACAGAGAAAATCTCACACAGAAGCATACACATACACACAAAAAGAGGAAAAGGGGAAAAAATAATATATCTTGCTCTCAAAGCCCACCTCCTCAATTTGGGATGATTCGTTGTCTATTCAGGTATTCCACAGATGCAGGGTACATCAAGTTGATTGTGGAGCTTTAATCCGCTGCTCCTGAGGCTGCTGAGAGAGATTTCCCTTTCTCTTCTTTGCTCTCACAGCTCCCAGGGGCTCCGCTTTGGATTTGGCCCCGCCTCTGCGTGTAGGTCGCCGGAGGGCATCTGTTCTTCGCTCAGACAGTACGGGGTTAAAGGAGCAGCTGCTTCGGGGGCTCTGGCTCACTCAGGCCGGGGGGGGGG